TATATATGACTTGGCCAGAGGTAGACACTGGATGCCCTATCCCATCATTTTCTACCTTATTTCCTGGAGACAGGGTCTCCCCCTGAACCTAGAGCTAGGCTGGCAGCCAGTAAGCCCCAGTATCATCCTGTCTCCATCTTCCACAGCCCAGGGGTGATAGGCCCACATGGTCATGCCTCGCCTGTTACACTGGCACTAGAGATTTAAACGCAGGTCCTGATGCTTGGACAGCAAGCCCTCTTACCTACTGAGCCATCTTCCTAGGCCAGAATAGGGACTTTCTACACTTTCATATATGTCCTTAATGGCCCTTCATATAGATACATAGGAAAACCTGCAGATGAACCTGCTCTCCTTTATCTTCTCCTCAATAGTGGACACACACCTTTATCTGCACAATCATCCCACAGGTATACTTGAGGACCAGCCCCGGCTGGCCACAGACAGAGTACCACCTCTTCCCACCTCCAAGCCTTCCCACCTCTCCTATACTAACCCTTGATCATTAATGGAGGAGAATACAACAACAACAACACACACACACACACACACACACACACACACACACTGTCTACTCTGTGCCTGGCAAGAAAAAACAAACTTCCAACTGCCACTTTTCTTTCTTGGCATCCATAGCTGGCATTCTGAGTAGGAATCTTTGAGCCAAAGCAGGATCTAAAGTCTGCATCTGCTGTCACTCCAGGGTTCAGAAGGAGATGGGTTCTAATTAATTTTATTTCAACAGAACTGTTCTTAGGTGTATTTGAAAAGTCCTAAGTGGACATAGGGATACAGGCCTATAATCCCAGCACTTGAAAGGTAGAGGCAAGAGATCCGTAGTTCAAGGCCAGCCTTCACTATATGTGACTCTGTCTCAACAACAGAAAGAAAGAAGCCGGGCATGGTGTCACACCCCTTTAATCCCAGCACACAGAAGGCAGAGGTAGGTGGATCTCTGTGAAACGGAGGGCAGCTTGGTCTACATATAGAGTTCCAGACCAGCCAGGGCTACATAGTGAAACCCTGCCTCAAAACAAACCACAAAAAAATAAAGAAGGAGAGAGGAAAGAATGAAGGAAGGGAGGAAGGAAGGAAAAAAAGGTACTTGTGATGAGATGTAGCTTAGTTAGTAGAGTGCTTGCCTCACATAATGAAACCCTAAATTCTAAACCCAGCAACATACATAAGCCAGGTGTGGTCCATGCCTGTAATCCCAGCATTTTGGAGGCAAAGGCAGGAGGATCAGAAGTTCAAGGTCATTCTCAACTACCTAGTGAGTTAGGACAGCTTGGGCTACATGAAACCCTGTCTGGAAAAAAAAAAAAAAAGGTAGCAAGATGGTTCATTGGGTAAAGGCACCTGTCCTCAAGCCTGATATCCTGAGTTCCACCTCCAGGACCAGTATGGTAAAAAGTGAGAACTGATTCCATTAGTTGTCCTCTGACCTCTACATGCCCTCACACACACACTATAAACAAACACCTGGAAGAAAAGATTTTTAAAATGTCTTCACATTATCCCATGAGGAAGATCAAATGGGTATGGAGCTCCAGTTGAGGGAACTGAGGCTCAGGCCAGTTTAGTGGCCACATTGGGGATGTCTGGACTCCTCACTCTAGCTCACAGAATTTTGTTGTTTTTGTTTTTGAGATGGAGTCTTATGTAGGCCAACCTAACCTCGAATTCGCTATATAGTTGAGGATGAACATGAACTCTTGATCTTCTTGCCTCTGCTTCACAAGTGCTGAAATCATAAGCATAGGCCACCAGGCCTGGCACTCAGGGAAAGTTTTTAAATTTTTTATTTTATGTGTATGAGTGTTTTGCCCCACATATATGCAAGTACACTGCATGCAATGCTGACGGGGCCAGAAGGGGGCATCAGATCCCCTGGAACTGGAGTTACAGACAGTTGTTAGCCTCCATGTGGGTGCTGGGAACTGAACCTGGGTCCTCTGTGAGACCAGTCAGTGCTCTTAACCACTGGCTTTCCAACCCCAACTCATGGAAATTTTTTATTGTTGAGGTGGTGGAGGGGATTGAACCTGGGGCTACATACAAGTTAAGTGCTCTACCACTGAGCTACATTTTCAATCTAGGCAAAAATAAAACAAAGCAGGCCTTTAATCCCAGAACTTGGGTGGCAGAGGCAGGCTGATCTCTGTGAGTTGGAGACCACTCTAGTCTACATAGTGAGTGCCAGGCCAACTGGGACTACATAGTGAGACCCTGTCTCAAAAAATCAAAACAACAAAAAGTAAAACAAAGCAATTCCTGCCACCTTTTGTGTATTTATTCTTTGTCTCTTTGTTAAAATGCATCCGCATCCCTGCTTGTCTGTCTTGCTTTGACCACAATAAACAATGGTTGTTAAAGCCTAGGTCTTGAGGTCTAGGAAGCAGCTTCTCACACACCCTCACTCCTCTAGACTGGATCCTGTGCCAAGCTCTTGACATAAAATGCTTACAGCCCCTTCCCTCTTAATAGCTTGCTTTATTTACTATTTGTTTACTTATTTATTTAATTGTCTCTTGTAGCCCAGAATGGCCTCAAACCTGAGGATGACCTTGAACTGCAGATCTTCCAGCTTCCAACTCCGACCGGAGTGCTGGGATTACAGGTGTGTGCCCCTGTACCCTGCCTCCAGTAACATTAACTGAGGTAGGTATAGGATGAGGCATCGCTCAGATAGGTTATGAAATTTGCCCCAGGCCACACAGCACATCTGCAAAGACTCTGCCCTATAGAATAACATTCACAGGTTCGAAGGATTAGGACATGCATATTGGGGGGGGGGGTTCCCATTTTTCAGTCAGTGGAGGGTGTAGCTGAGATCTCTTTGACACTAATTTACCCTTCCATAGAGCTATGTGGCAAAGCTAATCAGAACGAGGAATTTGCCTGGGAGCTGGTAAGGAAGGTCACGGGTGGGGAGGGGCGAGGTCACATCCCTGACCGCACCCAGGCGGTGGCAGCGGTGGTCTTAGGCAGAGGCCAACCCCGGTGCGCCCAGGTCCAGGCGGGCGGCGCCCACGGAGTCAAAGGTTAGTAGAGGATGACTTGGACCGCGGGGGCGGACGTGGGGAAGACTTTGAGCCCCAGACTGTGGAACAAGGTCCGGGCGCCTGGGAGGCTGCAGAGGGAGGAGGCCCAGCTCCGAGCCAGCCAACTCGCGTGCCCTCCCGGCACCTGGGGCGGGCAGTGTAGAGGGGAAGGGGAGGAAGGAGAGGGGGTGCAGCCAAGCACGCCCCCTGCTGGGCAGAGCTGCCGATCGCCGGCGTGGCGACGCTCGGAGCCCCTCCGAGCAGAAAGCAGGCCCCCCTCTGCCGGCCTCACCCCCTCACTGCACCCCGTGGCCCCGCAGCCGCAGTCTCGGACCCGGGACCGCCCAGGCGCACAAGGTTCGCGGGCGCTGGGTGCGACCCTCCGGGCTGCCGCTGAGGGGCGCCGCTGAGCCCTGCGCTCCACTCGGCGGGGGCCTCGAAGACCCAACCCTGCACTGGCCACCGGGGCGAGCGGGGGTGGGGGTACGCGGGGCGGCGACGATCAGACGCCCCAAAGCTGGGGAGCACGAGGCTGGCACCCCAAGCCCTTCTTCCCAGTCTATCTCGCAGAATCCGGAGCCCCCAGCACCCTCCGCCTCCAGCCTGGAGGTGCAGCGCCGCACGGCCGCTCGGGCTGGGTCCTCCGAGGGCGTGGAAGGGTGGGTTTGGGGCCGTGGGCGGGTCTGGGGGCGGACCCGGAGGCGGGGCTGTCTCTGCGGCAGGGCCCAGCTCGGCTCCCCCTGGTCTCCCTCTGTCTCTCCTCCTCCCTCCTCCTGCTCCGGGCGGAGCCCGGCATGGGGGGGCCGGCGCCCGGCAGGCCAGGTACGATGATGTAGAAATTGGGGAGGCTTAATGCGGGGAGGTGGTGATGGGGAGAACAAGGGGCAGGGAAGATTGGCGGGGTGAGAGACAGAGAAACCCAGAGTAGCGGGACAAGGGGACGAGGAAGGAGTGCCCTGGGAACCTGGGACTCTTGGATGGAAAAGGGGGGGTTGGGGGATGAAGCAGGCCAGGTTTGGAACAAACAGGGGAAGGGGGAGGACGGCTGTGAGGAGGGGCTCCAGGGAGGAGACGTAAGGCTGAAGGCGAAAGGGAGAGTGTGTTTGGGGGAAGGGACGCACAAGCAGGTATGAAGGCCTCAGATCTGAAGGTTGCTAAGGGGCCAGGCTGGAGACACCCCCCCCTCCTCCCTGGGTGGGATTCAGGGGCGGGACTGCAAGGGGGAAGCCCGGGTTCTCCCAAATCCTGGAGGGAGGAAGAAGGTGATTTGGGCCATCAGCGAGGGGAGGGAGGTGGAAACCATCACTGATGGACCAGAGAACTGAAATAGGGGTGGATGGAAGCCTGAGCCCAGAACTGGAAAAGGGGGGACGCCAGGGAGTGGAGATAGATGGATAAGTGGGATTTTAGATGCCCAACTCGGTATCCCCACCCTTTCTTCAGCATCCCCACCCTGTCCTCGTGACCCTCCTTCCCACTAAGCCTCAGGGCCCAAGAAGGGGTAGCAAGCTTTGCTGGTCTCTCCGTTTTCCCTAGCCGGGTGCAATGTACGCAAGTAGGCCCTGAGCACAACTCCCGGTCTGTAGGTGTGGCCAGTTCTATAGCGGATTTGTGTGCTAGAGGTCTGTGTGTGTCTGTGGGTGTGTCGGTGTTTCGGTGTTTATGTCTGTATTTGCTGTTTCTAGGTTTGTGTTTACCTATGCCCCCCTATGTCTGTCCCTGTTTGTAGATATAGGTCTGTGTAGCTGGGTGATGTATCTAAATGTGCTTTGTGCCTGCAGAGTTGCTGTGTGTTTAGGGGCCCTGTCTGTGGTGGCTCAGGATGTATTTACACAGGATGGGCATCTGTGTCAACCTGCTCTCTCCAGAGTGTCTGTGTGACACTCCGAACACCTTTGTCAGGATGTGTGACTGTACACACACACACACACACACACACACACACACACACATGTTTGTCTGTCTGGGAGGGGTCCAATAGACTGTTGGGTGTTCTGTGCCTGTCTGTATTTTCCTCTTCTGAGGACCCAAATCATGTTTCTGCCCCCTTTTCTCTCTTTCATTCATTCCACACCCCCATCTTCCTTTTTCTCCTTTTTACTCATTCCCTTTATCAAGTGGATCCGGGACCCAGGGAGGGCCGCCCCCCGGGCCTGGAGGCACTGAGCAGGGCCCCCCAGCCCCCACCTCCTGCCCCACGACATGAACCTTCTATACCGAAAAACCAAGCTGGAGTGGAGACAGCACAAAGAAGAGGAGGGCAAGAGGAGGTAAGGCTGGGATCCCAGACTGTCCCGTGGCCTGTTATACCTGGGCCTGCCTCTTTTGCTGGACTACAGCCCCTTCTGGGGCCCAACAGCCTTGTCACCAGTGAGAGTCTGGTCCCAGACTTTGTACTCAGCACAGAATGGCTATAATTGCATATGCTTGATTCTGGCCTTCTTCCTGGCATCCTTGGGGACAGTATGGGGAGGGGGACAATTTCCAGCTCTAGAGAATGCTATTAGCTTATCCCCACCTCTAAGGGCCCCAGTCATTCCTTCCCAACTCACTTTCTGTCATTTTGAGATTGGTTTCTGGCTTTCCCCTGTCACCTGACCTTGGAAGAGGCAGGCTCCAGTGTCCTCATGGGATCGAGGGACAGAGTCATTTCAGAGGCCTTCAAGAATATCTGTGGGGTCTCCTTCCTAGTCTTCTGTTGGGGGGAAATGAGAGGTGTGTGTGTGTGTGTGTGTGTGTATGTGTGGTGTGTTAGGGGACTTGTAGGCTAGATCCTGCAGAAAAGCGAGGTGGAGACCACCCCCCCATGCCGTCACTCTTGAATCCCTACCCTCCTAGGGACCTGGGCCTGGCCTCTGTCAGCCCGCTTCCTCCTCCTCTTCCCTTCCCATTGACTACACAGCCTCTTGGAGCCTGAGTCACAACCACCTTCCAGCTCCCTTTTCCCTCCTCCTCGAAACTGTGGAGTTTAATTCTTATTGTTAATTAGATTAATCAGAGCGATCACTGCAGCAATCTCTCCCTAATGAAGGGTTAGTAGACAGGGCCTTAATGAGAGCCCACCACACAGTAGTTCTTCCCCTCTTCCCTGCCAGCCAGCCCCCCTCCCCCTGGCTCACTTGGGGAACTAGGGACAGTGAAAGGGAATTGGAGTGAACTGGGGAGGCTGACAGAGAGAGGGCAGCAGCGAGGGAGAGGGAGGAAGAGAGGAGAAAGGATCTGCCTAGGGAGGCTGCTCTGGTTAGGGGAGAGGAGGTGGGTAGTGGGGCAGAGGCTGCAGTAGCTGGGCATGTGGGGAGGCCAGAGGCCAGGTGTGGGCCAGAGTGTGAGAGGCACCGAGAAGCCCTGGTGTCAGGTGTGTCTGTCTATCTCTTGGGTGGCTGTGACTTGGGTTACATCCTTCTCTGTATAATAGGCTGTGTGCTGGCTGGGTGGTCCATCAGCCCCAGGGATACTGACTGCCCTACACACATATCACATCTTTCATTTTTGACACCACATGTCTCCCCCCGCAATTGCTTAGCTTTTTCTTTAAGCTCAAAGAATCTGCCTAAAGACCCTACATTTCTGCCTTAGACTTTCAAATGTTCCTATCCCAGGCTTCTGACCTCTTCCCTGGAGAAACAAAATTGTTATAGCCTTAAGAAGGATCATGTTCTATTGTGATACAGGGATGAGAGTTCGAAGCCTGCCTGATGTCTGACCTCTGTTCCATCCTTGTCTTCTCTCCCCAGCTCCAGTAAGGAAGCAGCCCCCACTGGCCCTGCAGGGCCTGGGGCTGGCCCTGGGCCTGGGGTCCGAGTGCGGGACATAGCCTCACTGCGTCGTTCCCTCAGGATGGGTTTCATGACGATGCCTGCCTCCCAGGAACACACCCCCCACCCCTGCCGCAGCGCCATGGCACCTCGCTCACTTTCCTGCCATTCAGTGGGCAGTATGGACAGTGTAGGGGGGGTGCCTGGGGGAGGTGGGGGAGGTCTCACAGAGGATAGTAGCACCCGAAGACCCCCAGCTAAGCCCCGGAGACACCCCAGCACCAAGCTCAGCATGGCAGGATCAGGGGCAGAGACACCTCCAAGCAAAAAAGCAGGTGAGACAATCCCGCACCCCTCCATCCCTCCTCAGAGGGAGCTGGGAGCTGGCAAGATCCATTCCAGGCCAGGGGAGGCTTCTGGGAGGGTTCATTCAAGGAAGAGCCAAGGAAGTGGAAGATTCCATTCCCAAAATGAATGGGGGGGTTCCTTTTAGATGGACCTCAGATGAACCATTCAAGGGCAGGGGACACTCCCTAAAAGACAGTTCTTAGGAAGAATGTGAAAGTGGAAAAGAATTTAGGATAGGAGCTGCAGATTCTGGGGTTGGTAGAGGGACTGAGGCAGGAGGATACTTAAGGGAAACCTGGGGTGCATAGTCAGACCCTGTCTTAAAAACCCCAAAAAAGAGAGAAAGAGAAGAGAAAAAAACTAGGGACTACCTTGTAGAAGCAGAATTGACCAAGGCTCTAAGTGGATGGCTGTGGAACAAATGAATCGGTAGATATGTCCTTGTAGGTGGGTCAAGAAGTCAGAAAAGTATTCTCATTTACTACAGTGAGTTCAAGGCCAGCCTGGGCAGCTTAGTGAGACACTGTCTCAAAATAGAAAAATTTAAAAAGAAACAAAAGCTAGGGATTTGGTTCAACGGTAGAGCACCTGCCTAGAATCCCCCAGTGAGGGGCTGGGGGTTTGGCTCAGTGGTAGAGCACCTGCCTCGAATCCCCCAGTGAGGGGCTGGGGTGTGGCTCAGTGGTAGAGCACCTGCCTAGAATCCCCCAGCCAGGGACTGGGGGTGTGGCTCGGTGGTAGAGCACTTACATGTTCAGTGCCCTGGGTTCAATAAGCTCAACTTCTTTTTCTCCTTCCCACCCTACCTAGGGTCTCAGAAGCCAACCCCAGAGTGCCGTGAGTCCAGCCGGAAGGTTCCACCACAGAAGCCCAGGCGAAGCCCCAACACTCAGCTGTCTGTGTCCTTCGATGAGACTTGTGCCCCAGCTCCGTCTCCTCGAGGGGGGAACCTGCCCCTGCAGCGCCTCAATAGGGGCTCCCGAGTAGCTGGAGACCTTGATACAGGTGCCCAGGAAGAAGAGCCCGTGTACATCGAGATGGTGGGGGATGTCTTCCGGGGAGGAGGACGAAGTGGAGGAGGCCTGACTGGACCTCCTCTTGGAGGAGGCCCAACCCCTCCAGCTGGTGATTCGGACTCTGATGACAGTGAGGCCATATACGAAGAGATGAAATACCCGCTGCCTGAAGAGGCAGGGGACGGCAGAGCCAACGGGCCTCCCCCATTGATGGCAACCTCCCCTCCACACCAGTCTCATGCCCTCCAGCCCCACTCTCACCGACGTCCAGCATCAGCCCTCCCGAGCCGGAGGGATGGGACACCCACCAAGACCACTCCTTGTGAAATCCCCCCACCCTTCCCCAACCTCCTTCAGCACCGGCCTCCACTCTTGGCCTTCCCTCAAGCCAAGTCTGCTTCAAGAACCCCTGGCGACGGGGTCTCGAGGCTACCTGTCCTCTGCCACTCCAAGGAGCCAGCAGGTTCCACTCCAGCTCCCCAAGTGCCTGCACGAGAGCGGGAGACGCCTCCCCTGCCGCCTCCGCCTCCTGCTGCCAACCTGCTATTGCTAGGACCATCAGGCCGAGCCCGGAGCCACTCCACACCATTGCCCCCCCAGGGCTCTGGCCAGCCCCGGGGGGAGCGGGAGCTCCCCAACTCTCACAGCATGATCTGCCCCAAGGCGGTGGGGGCGCCGGCAGCCCCCCCTGCTCCAGCCACCTTGCTCGCTGGCCCCCCCAAGGACAAGGCCGTGTCTTACACCATGGTGTACTCAGCTGTAAAAGTGACCACACACTCGGTCCTGCCAGCTGGTCCCCCCCTGGGTGTCGGGGAGCCAAAGACAGAAGAAATCTCAGTACTCCACGGAATGCTGTGCGCCAGTTCGAGGCCCCCCGTGCCAGGGAAAGCCAGCCCCCATGGTGGGGCTGTGGGCTCAGCAGCTGGGGTCCTCCACCACCGCAGCTGCCTGGCTTCCCCCCACAGTTTTCCAGATCCAACTGCAGGCCCCCTCACCCCTCTCTGGACCTACCCAGCCTCAGCTGGGCTCAAGAGACCCCCTGCCTACGACAGCCTCAAGGCTGGGGGGTTGCTGAATAAGGGCTGTGGAGTGGGGGCACCGTCCCCCATGGTCAAGATCCAGCTACAAGAACAAGGGACCGATGGGGGTGCCTTTGCCAGCATCTCCTGTGCCCATGTCATCGCCAGCGCAGGGACACCAGAGGAGGAAGAGGAGATGGGCGCCACGTTTGGGGCAGGCTGGGCTCTGCAGAGGAAGGTCCTGTATGGAGGGAGGAAAGCAAAACAGGACAGTGAGTGAAGGGTGGGGAATGGAAGTGTGGGGATGTTGGTGATGGGAAGGGGTGTTGAGGGAGTTATTTGAAATCCATAGGCCCATTGTCTTGAACTGGAAAGTTTTCTGAGACCAGAAAGATCGGGAATGGATTTGGGGAGGGGCTTGTCTCTGTGTGTGCTGAAAGGGCAGGGAGATCTGGAATAGGGGCACTGGTAGAATCTGGGGCTGGGGCCCCATCTTGCACCACTTCCTGACCCTCCCTTCCCTGGGCTGCAGGGGTGTGTGTTTGTGAGTGTGTGCACACTAGGAGCTAAACACAGCTGCCTCCCAGCCATTACCATGGCAACCCATCCAGACAGGAGGGAGAGGAGAGGGAGGCCCCTATGGTTGCCTGGTAACGCAATGCTCCGCCAGGCCTGCTCTCAGAGATGAGCTTAGTTCACATGAAGCCCTCCCCACCCCGCCCCCCATACACTCAACATTTGCCCCACACACACCTTCCCAGCTCAGGATTTGGGATTTTTCTCCCATTTGGGGAAACAGCACCCCTGTTTTCTAGGGTGTTTGTTCTGGCCCTATCTAGAACTAGGGATCTAAAAGCTAACGCTAGGGTAGAAGTCCCCTTGACCAGGAAAAGGGATTTCTAAGCAGAAAATATATATATGATATTGACCCTGAGGGATTATAATGATGGGTAGAAACAAAAGTAATGGGGGCAGAGTCTGAGGGGCGTGTGTGTGTGTGTGTTGGGGGAGTGAGAAGTAAGGCCCTTTCCACTCCTGCTGCATTGTGTATGTCTGTTGGGACAGAATGGCCCCTCCCACGTGCAGACACTAGAGCTTTTTTTGTTATCCCAGCAGAGGTCGAGGACACTGCCCGGGCCTGGAATGGCAGTACTGAGGGTCCAGGCAAGGTGGAGCGTGAGGACAGGGGTCCTGTGGCATCAGGGATTCCTGTGAGGAGCCAAGGGGCAGAGGGTCTGCTGGCCAGGATCCACCATGATCGAGGAGGGAGTCGCACGGCACTGCCCATCCCCTGCCAGACCTTCCCAGCCTGCCACCGAAATGGAGGTGATACCCTGCCCATGTACTCTATACAGAGATGGGGTGGGTCAGGAGTCTGCCAGGGTCCAGCCTGGACTATCCTGTCTGATTGCCTATCAACTCCATGTGCTGGGCCCTTAATCTTTATTTCTTTTCTTCTGCTGGGGATGGAACCCAGGACTTCCTGCATGCTGGGCAAATGCTCTGCCACTGAGTCATAACCCCAGTCCCTCACTGGAGGATTCTGGGCACTCACTCTGCCACTGAGCTATATCCACAGCCCCTCAATGGGGGAGTCTAGGCAGGTGCTGTACCACTGAGCATGCCCTCCAGCCCCTCACTGGGCTAGATTCTAGGCATGTGCTCTACCACTGAGCTTCATCCCTAGCCCAGAGCCCTGAATCTTGGCACCGCATCTCCATCTTCTTCCTTTCACTCATGAGGCAGGTGACAGGCTGGCCTTGGCCTCCTAATCTAGGCAACTAAGCATCAATTGGCCTTTCTTCTCATCTCTGATGTTTTTGGGCCTCAGATTTCACAGGAGGATACCGCCTGGGACGCTCTGCCTCCACCTCTGGAGTCCGACAGGCTGCACTCCATACCCCCAGGCCCTGCAGCCAGCCCAGGGATGCCCTGAGCCAGGTGAGATTTGATCTTCTGTGAAGGAGTAGATAAAAAAGAAGGTTTGGGTGCAGACAGAAAAGCAAGAAAAGACAGGTACCCTTGCTCATTCCTGTAATCCTAGCACTCCAGGGAAGCTGAAGTACAAAGGATCCTTCTTGAGTTGGAGCCCAGCCTGGACTATATAGAAAGATCCTGTCTCTAGCTGGGCATGGTGGCACATGCTTTTAATCCCAGCACTCAGGAGGTAGAGGTAGGTGGTCTCTGTGAGACTGAGGCCAGCCTGGTCTACATAATGAGTTCCAGGCCAACTGGGGCTACAGGGAGTAATTTAATAGCCATGAAAAGAAATGAATCAAGCTAGTATAGTGACAAATACCTGTAACCCCAGGTATTTACTTAGTTTTCTGTTTCTTTTTTTAAATTAAAAACTTTATTTTTATGTTATATGTATTTTTGCCTGCATGTATGTAAGTATGACTGTGTTGTGTAATGCCCATGGACAGCCAGGAGAGGTTATTGACTCCCTAGGAACTTACAGACAGTTGTTAGCTGACATATGGGTGCTGAGAACTGAATCCTGATCTTCTGCAAGAGCAGCCAGTGCTCTTAACCACTGAGCCATCTCTCCAGCCCTAGTTAGTTGGTATTTTAAATTTTAGGCAAGTCTCAAGTCTTCCAGGCTGGCCTCCAAGTTGCTATATAACTGAGGATGACCTTGAACTTCTTGATCCCCCTGGGTCCACCTCCCAGACTGCTGGTATTACAAACTAACCTGGTTTATGCAGTTCTGGGAATTGAACTCAAGGCTTCATGCATGCCAGGCAAGCACTCTACCTTCTGAGCTACCAATCAACCAACTGAGCCTTACTGTACTAACTATACTAACCCCAGCATGAAACACCATTTTTTTTCTTTTATTAAATTTGAGAATTTCGTACTGGTTTAGGATGCTTTCTGATTACCCACCTTCTTATCTCCCTTGCACCCCTGTCAACTTCTCCCATCCTTAGAGTCCTTTACCCACTTTCCTGTCTTTGTTTTGTAGAAAGACATTTTTTGTTTGCTTGTTTTTTGTTTGTATGCTTATTTTGGAAAGGGTCCCTTTGTTAGGGCCATGCAAGCCTAGTTTAGCACCAGGGCACTCTGGTGGGAAGAGGGTGCCAAAACTAGGGACCTCCGTCCCCATCACACCCTGTGAGAGGACAAGACGCATGGCCTGCGGGAAGGTCATTGGTGTTTGAGCCTGAGGACCTTGACTCTCTGCATCCTTCACCTCTTTTCTGTGCGGTTCCTGCAGACCCACCCTGCGCTGCCGCTGCCTCCCCAGCCGGCCCGCGAGCGGGATGGCAAGCTTCTGGAGGTGATCGAGCGCAAGCGCTGCGTGTGCAAGGAGATCAAAGCACGCCACCGTCCGGACCGCGGGCTCTGCAAGCAAGAGAGCATGCCCATCCTCCCCAGCTGGCGGAGGGGCCCCGAGCCCCGCAAGTCTGGCACCCCGCCCTGCCGCCGGCAGCACACGGTCCTCTGGGATACTGCCATCTGAAGAGTGCAGGGATGGCCCAGGACACCTGGACTGGGAGGGGGCGGGGCCTGCCCATCTCTACTTGACACTTGAGAGATGGAGGGACTAGGGGAGGGCGGCCCTACCTGACCCATAGGGGAGCTTGGGGTACCAGCAGTATCCCAAGCAATTTGGGGGAGGAGGGCTTGCTTGATGTTGGAGGTGGGGGTGGGGGGGTGTCTGAGCGTGGTAGACCCCTCTTCATGTGAAGAAGGCCAAGATGGGGGAAGAGGGAAGGGTTTCCGAGGAAGATGGGGGCGGGGCATATAGAAGTGAGACCCCTTTTGATGAGAGAGGGGAGAAGGGGGGGAAGGGGGGAGGGGTTTCCGGGGGAGGGGGGGGGGGGGCATATAGAAGAGTGGAAGGAGAGAGAGAGAGAGAGAGAGAGAGAGAGAGAGAGAAGCTCTTCTTGAGAGCCAGGGGGAGTGGGGAAGGGTATTTATTTTGTTATTTATTTTAGTCTGGAGGGGAATTCTGGGTCCTTCTGACTTACTCCTGAGCAGATGGTGGAGAGCTGAGGCTAACTTTGCACTCTTCCTAAGGCCAGTGCCTAAAGACCCCCGCCACCCATGCCCACCCAAAGATAGGGATGCTTCTGCTTTGAAGAGCAGAGTCAGAAGGCACAGAGGCTCAGACAATTGACAGTATTTATAATTTTGCCAGAATTTGGTAGTGAGTGTGGCCTGCTCTAAAGCAGGCATCTTATTTAGTTCTGGGGTAAGGGTCTAGCCAAGGATGGGTGGGATGAAGGGGAAGGAGGGGAGATTTTAGTGGGAGGGGAGGGTATTTATTTAAATTTAAAAAAACACACCAGAAGAGCTGTCAGGAACTTTTTTTTAATTCCTTTCTTTTCAGAATAATATATTAAAAGACTCATGACCCTAGAGCTGGCTTCTTAGATTTCCCAGTGTGCTCTGTCTTTTACCCTTCCTCCTTTTTCCATGATACCCTGGGTGGGTGGGAGTTCAAGGTACCATGGGGGAGCAGCTGTGACCAGTCACAGGGAGGGACAGAGTTCAGGTGAGTCTTGGGAATTCCAGCAGGCATTCCATCATTAAGTTATTGTGTGTGTGTGTGTCTGTACATATTCATGTGTGTGCATATGTATGTGTGTGCACATGCATGTGGAGACCAGAGGTCCTTGCCAGGTGTCTTTCTGAATTCCTCTCACTGAATCTGGAGCTCATTGATTCTGATGGATTGGCTGACTAGGAAGTGCCAGGGATACGCAGAGCTGGGATTACAGGTGCGAACGATCATGCCTGGCTTTTACGTGGATGCTTGGGATCCAAACTCAGGTCCTCATGCTTGCTAGTGAGCACTTCATCATTGAGCCATCTCCACAGCTCCTATCACTCAGTTTTTATTGAACGTCTACTGTGTTCCTAGCAGTGTTCTGATGCAGAAGGAATGTTCATATGTGAAGTTTACATTCAGCTGACCTTGTAGTCTACTCAGGGAGCTGAAACCCCCAGACTCCAGGAGACATTGCTGCAGGACTAAAAGAGGGCTGTGGCTATCTAAGAACACTAATAGAACAGATAAGAGGGCTGGGAATATAACTCAGCAACAGAGCCTTTGCCTAGAATCCCTCTGTGAGGGACTGGGGGGCTTGGTTCAGTGGTAGAACATTTGCCTACAAGCCCCCAGTGAGAGGCTGGGGGCGTGGCTCCGTGGTAGAGTGCCTGCCCAGAATCCCCCAGTAAAGAACTTGTGTGTAGCTTAGCACTTGCCTATCTTGTTCCAGGCCCAAGTTTCAGGTTCTGGTACCATATACACATACATACACACACACACACACACACACTCACACACACACACACACACATGCAAATAAATGTTAAAAAAATAAACAAGTAAATAGTCCATTAATAAGAGCATCAAGAATCACAACATGAGGTGGGCATGGTGGCACATGCCTTTGTTCCCAGCACTCAGGAGACAGAGGTAGGTAGATCTCTGTGAGATCCAGACTAGCCTGGTCTACGTAGCAAGTTCAAGGCCAGCTGGGGCTACAGGGAGACCCCATCTCAAAAACAACCAAAAAAGAAAAGAATCATAACATGGGGCTGGGGATGTAGCTCAGTTGGTAGAGTGCTTGCCTAGTACACTGGGTGTGCCCATAGTGAGTTGAAGGCCAGCCTGAGCTAGAATCTGTATCAGGTCAATCAAAACTAAAGTCCTAAGAGTCATTTTAAAAATTAGGTCTAGGGGCTGGAGAGATGACTCAGCCGAGCACTGGCTGCCCTTGCAGAGGACCCTGGTTCAGTTCCCAGAACCCACATGGTGACTTACAACTGTCCATAACTCCAGTTCCAGGGACTCTGACGCCCTCTTCCAGCCTCTCCTCTACAGGCACTATATGACATGGGTGCACTTACATCCATGCAGGCAAACACTCATACACATAAATCTTTATATTAAAAAAATTAGGTGTACAACAAGTACTATATAGTGAGAACCTGTCTCAAACTAACAAAACCAACAACAACAAAAAATTAGGTTGAGTGAACAAAACCCAGTTTCACAAAAAACAACTTTTGGGGGGAAGGAGGGCTATACAAAGAACTATGGGAATAAAGGGGGAAAAAAATCTCCCGATACATGGTTAAAAAAAAAAAATCGTTAGGAACAGAAGGAACCCTCCAGCATGGAAGAAAGCCCTACCAGAAGCCATACAGTTATTAAATGAAAATCCCTCCCCCTCCCCAAAAAACAAAAACAAAAACAGTCATTGAGACAGCTTAGGGAGTATAAAGGCACTTGCTGCCAAAGTTTATGACCCAAGTTTGATCCCTGAGATCCACACACGTGTACCTACATACCCAATAAATAAATGTAATAGATTTTTTAAAAAAAGAAAAAATGAGATAGGAGGTCTAGGCTAGGGGTATAGTTCAGTGGTGAGGCATTTACCCAGCATGCACAAGACTGGGCTTTGATTCCCGCACCTCAAAAATTAAGAAAAGGGCAGAGCATGGTAGTGCCTGGCTTTAGTCCCAGCACTCAGGAGGCAGAGGCAGATAGATCTCTGTGAGTTCAAGGTTAGCCTGGTCTACAGAGTGAGTTTCAGGGTAGCCAGGGCTACACAGTGAGACCCTGTCTTGAAAAACTAAACAAAGTAAATAATTAAAAAATAAAATTTTTCGCCAGGCGTGTTGGCACACACCTTTAATTCCAGCACTTGGGAGGCAGAGGCAGGTGGATCTTTGTGAGTTCGAGGCCAGCCTGGTCTACATAGTGAGTTCCAGGACAGCTGAGGCTACAGGGAAACCCTGTTTCAAAACGACAAAAAATAAAAAATAATTTTAAATTTAAAAAAATAAATAAAATTTTTAAATAAAAAGAGAATCTTTGAGCCTAGCATGGTGGCGCACGCCTGTAGCCTCAGCACTTGGAAGGCAGAGGCAGGCAGATCTCTGTGAGTTCAAGGCCAGCCTGGTCTACATAGTGAGGTCCTACAGGGAGACCCCGCTTCAAAAGGACAAAAAAAAAAAAAAAAGTTGGGGGGGATCTTTGAATAAGCAGAGCTCTTAGATTTTAAAAGCTTAATAAAAAAGATGACAGTTTTCAAATGGATTCAGTGCAGTCACTAAACCACAAGGGGATTATTTAGGAAACTTGATAAAATTTGAAAGTTCATACAGAATAGTAATAGGAAGAGCCAGAACATTCTGGAACAGGAGAATAACAGGGTGACCTGCCTTACCAAACACTGAAACATAAAAGCAGAACATGCTGACCCTAGCACAGAACTGGAAGAATGCATCAGCATCAAGAGAGACAGCACCAGACGCACACCAGAACTGGCACTTATATGAGGTGGGTGCTATTTTAAATTAGTTTGCAAAAATTAGTTATTCAATAATTGCTCCTTGCACATGCTTGTAATCCCAGCACTAAGGAGAATCAAATGTTCAAAGTCATCATCAGTTGCAGAGCTAATTCTAGGTTAGCCTGGGCTACATGAGACACTGATTCGAAACAAGTAAGAATTGTTTCTTGAGCCAGTAGTGGGATTACATGCCCTGTAATCCCAGCACTTGAAAGGCAGAGGTAGGCAGATCACTGTGAAATCAAGGACAGCCTTACCTACATAGTGAGTTCTAGATCAGGCAAGGCTTTGTAATGAAACCCTGCCTTAAAACCCACCCAATCAAAATTGTTTCTTGAACAACTAGTTAGGAGGGGTCTGTTAGAAGCTGTAGTTCCATCTCATCCATGAATTTGTAGTTTTTAAAAAATATTTATTCATTTTTATTTTTAAAATATTTATTTTTATTTTATGTTTATGAGTGTTTTACTTGCATGTGTATAAGTGCACCACACATGTGCAGTGCCCACAGAGGCCAGAAGAGGCTGTGGATCCCCTGGAACTGGAGTTAGGGATGGTTGTTAGAGGCTATGTAGGTACTGAAAAATGAACCCAGGTCCTCTGGAAGAACAGCAAGTTTTTAACCACCATCTCTCCAGCCCTGATTTTTAAGTGTGTGTGTGTGTGTGTGTGTGTGTGTGTGTGTGTGTATGCATGCATGCAAATGGGGGCAAGTGTATGTAGGTATGCTTGGAGGCCAGAAGAGGGTGTTGGATCTCCTGGAGCTTGAAGGTACAAGCAGTTGTGAGCTGCCTGACCTGGGTGCTATGAACTGAACTTGGGTCTTCTGCAAGCACAGCAAGTGCTCTTAACCACTTAACCACTGTACCATCTCTCCTGCCCAAATATCTGATGTTTTTTGTTTGTTTACTTGCTTGCTTTGAGACAGAGTCTCTGTGTAGCCCCAGGTGTCTTGGAACTTACTATGTAGACCAGGCTGGCTTAGATCTCTCAGAGGTCCACTTGCTTCTGCCTCCTGATGGCTGGGATTAGAGGCATGCATTGTCGGGGGCTAGAGAGATGGCTCATCGGTTAAGAACACTGGTTGTTCTTGTGGAAGACCTGGGTTCGAATCCCAGCACCCACATGGCAGCTAACAACTGTCTGTAACTCCAGATCCATGGGATCTGACAGCCTCTTTTGTCCTCAGCCATTGCATGACATGGGTATACTTACCTACACACAGGCAATACATGAATACACATAAAATAAAAATAATAAAATATTTTTTAAAAAAGCATGCATTAGCCAGGCGTGGTGGCACATGCCTTTAATCCCACACCCACATGGCAGCTAACAACTGTCTGTAACTCCAGATCCATGGGATCTGACAGCCTCTTTTGTCCTCAGCCATTGCATGACATGGGTATACTTACCTACACACAGGCAA